TATTAGAAAACCCATTAAAGACTTGATTCTACCATTTACAAGTCCCTCCTGAACCAAATTCTTTGCTTGCATAAAGCACTCAAAAATCCTAACAAAATTCACTGGCCACTTGCTCTGCATCAGATATGTCCTAAGTACTTCACCTGCAATCATTCGTTTCATGTCTACATGGTAGGTACTGTCATCGCCCTATTTTGCAGATGAGGAAACTGAAGATTCCCAGATACTGCACCAAACACTGTTGTAGTTCTGTCTGTGAGAGTGTTTCTGGATAAGATTTAGTCACAGGCACATTTTCCTCCATGATCTGAGTGGGCTCCATGCAATCAGATGAAGACCTGGTGAAAACTAAAGAATGACCTCCTGGGAGCAAAAGAATTCTACCAGCAGAAAACCTTCACATCTGGACTGTAACATCAGCTCTTCCTCAGACTCCAGACGGTTGGAACCCTTGCAGATTGTAGACCTGCTAGCCTCCATAATCATACGATCTAATTTCTTAAAATCCATGTCACTCTCTCATTTTCTCCAACAGAGTGCTAGGGACTGATCAGAAAGAGGAAGAGAAAGTGCAGTGTAGGGAGCAAAACAGCCCTTCTGCAAAAATACCACAAGTGCAGAGAATTACACATACATACACAAAGAGGCAAATACACAGACATGGATACATGAATGGAAAATCATAGCACCGTGGTTCAGCTTCTCTAACTAACTAACCAACTAACTAACACAGGAACAATATCCAGTCTAGCAGACCAGCCACAGCCTGGAAGGAGGGATGCAGAAGGGAGGGGCACCTTTTCCTACCTCTACTTTTTTTTAATTTTATTTTTTATTTTTTGAAAGCCTTTTTTACGAAACATCCGTTGCTTGACAGCAAGCAGGAAAAGGAATGGAAGGAAGAAGAAAAAAGTATCAGACCACAGAATCACAGGCCATCAGAGACTGCAGGAAGTCTCAGAGGACTTACAGCTCAGACAAGGAAGGCATAAGGACAGGTTCGTAGCTGTGATAAAGAACCATATCAGGTCCCCCAGAATGAACCCTAGTGCTCATGAGAGCAAGAGGTCAGGAGGTCAAGGGAGCTTGAGGTACCTGGCCTACCTCATGACCAGGAAGCAGAAGAGAGACAAGAAAGGGCTGATGCTCCACAACCCTCTAAGAGCAAACCTCCAGTGACCTAAAGGCTCCTGCTAGGCCCCTTTCCCTAGAGCTCCACACTCCAGCCCCAATAGTGCCACACCTGGGGGACCCTCACACACCACAGCAGTAGTCAACAGCCTCATAGCTCCGGCTAGTGAGTGCACCCTACACTCTGCACCACTCAGGGTGGAGAGATGCCAGCTTGATGGCTTGGACCACACCCATGAGTAGAAGGAACCAGTGTCTCTCCTTTCTGGAAGGACCAAGTCTCCAACACCCCTCCCTGACTAGCAGGCTCAAGCGCCATCTGCTGGCCAAGGTCAACACTGCACCTGGACCCAGGGCCGGGGAGAGCGCTTCAGCAGCGCTGAAACAATTGCCAACTCAATTCAGACCCAGGACACCTGAGGCAGCAGAATGACCCCACCCTCTGAGGAATCAGAAGACCTGAGGTCTCACCCTGCTGTTTGTTGCTACTCTCATCCAAGTGGCCTCCAGGTCACCCTCTGCTACGCCAGTCTCTATAAAAACATGGTGCTCACTGGTCCTCTCCTCTAACTTGATGGCACCTGCTCATTCCCCGGGATTTGGATGGATCTGGAACCAAGTATACTCCTGGGTTCTGGGATCTAGAGTGCTTTACCCTCCGCTCACTACCCATGCCCTGCTGGGGACACCTCTCTGGACCAGCCCCACATACCTAGGACAGGAACTAGTTTAAGACACTAGTGACTTGCCAAGGCTTTGTCAGTGGGAAGGACCCCAAGAGACCAAAACTGCACCATCGTGAGCTCACATCTAACCAGCCTGTCTGCAATTTTAAGTTCAGGAGCACTTCTGCAGGCTCTAAACTTAGGGTAACCTGAAAGCCCAGCCATGGCCTGTGACCCATAAAGATAGCTATGCAGCATAGACCAGCTCCTCCCAAACCACGCACCCAGGGCCAAGATGAAACTGAGCTTCCATGAGCACCCAGGAGTCACGAAGCCTGCTCAGACACTATCTCAGGGGTGGGAGCAGCTTCCCAAGAGGTGTCATGGGAAGAGCTGGAGGGGGAGGGAAATGGAAAGTGAGTGACTTTCCTCCGCCCTCACACCCCCACAGCCACCTACCCTGCTCCCCACCTGGCCTATTCCCCTCCCTCCACCCACAGACTGGAAAGTGTGTCATGAGGGAATAAATGCTGTCTTCCTGGAGGGAGGGAGAAAGGAGTAGGAGGAGGAAGAAGAGGAGAGGAAAGAGTTCAACTGCCTGACTGTGGGGGCTGCAGTGAGAAACCAGAGGTCTCTGAGCTTCCCAGCAGTGGAGACACCTCCTCAGAACCATGACCTTGACATTAGCCTCCCTTTCTCAAGGGGCTCCAGACAAACTGGGGCAAAAGTCATGCTGCCACCTCACTCAGGACTGCTTGGCTGGGGGAAGCTGGAGAAGCAGCCCTGAAGACACAAGCCACGGCTTCCACCTCCAAATATCCTCCAGCCAGCTGGCAGGGTGAGGGTAGGACACCATGACTGCCAGTTCCCTAAACTTTTCATCTCACTCTACTCTTGCTCAGAGGGGCTGCCGCCCTGCTCTTGCCGCGCTCTCCTCCCCAGAGGCTTCCAAGGGTTAATCTCCTGCTGTCTTCCCCTCTCACATCCACCCCCACTGAGCTGCCACATGCCAGCAATGATGCGCCTCACACTGTTATTACCATGACTTATTTAGTTTTAATTCAGGGGTGAATCTCGTGCTGTTGGAAGCCAGAGGCCAACAGTCTCTGTGAGAAGCAAAGGTACTCTCGGGCCAGCCTTGTGCCAACCCCGTCCCCTCTGCGTGGGTCCTTGCATCCTAATCCTGCTTCCTAGCCAACCACCTGATCCCTGACTCCAGTCCTAAATTGAACTGCCTTTTAGTCTCTCTTTTTGGAGCAAACGTTCCTCAGTGCAAGGGAGTCATAGACATTTCTGTGCTCCCCTCCAGCATGCTTGGGCTCTACAGAGTCAGTGAGGTCTCCCTCCAATCCAGGCCAGCACTGAGGAGTGCAGAGGCTGGCCACCCAGCACCCATTTCACATGAAGGAACCTAGAGTCAGGGCCAGCATCAATACAAATGGAACAACTGGTGTTCCCCAAACTTGTGTCCCTATCTTGACCCTGCCCCGAGTTGCCTAAGGAAGTTGTCACTCATTTATCCACTCATTAAACAAACCCTGGTACCTACTCTACACCTCACTGTTCTAGTGCTAAAGATACAAGGCAAAAGGACAGTCCTGGCCTTCATCCTTAAAGACTTTCTAACCTGCAGGGGGAGACTTAAGGAACCAAGCCCATAGCTTGCACAAGTGAAGGGGGCAAAGTTCTACAGAGACTAATGTGACAGGTCTAGTCACAGGACCAGGGCTGGTGAAGACGACACAGAAGAGCTGGAGTCTGACTCTAGCACCTAGTCCCCTGCCTGGAATTTGCTAGACAAATGGACAGACAGACAAAGGCCTTGAATCACTTAACACAGCAAATGGAGCAAAAACATTCCACACTGATAGTGAGTCATGAGTATAGGCACCGAAGGCTAGAGGCAACCAGAACGTGAGCTGAGTGGTGCAATGTGACCAGAGCATAAGGAAATAACCACAGTCAGTACCTCATGTGTGCTAAGTTTTTGCTCCACATAAAGTGCTATAGTAAGTAAGCTCTAACCTGGGTACTATGATTATCTTCAGTTTACAGAAAAAGTGAAGAATCAAAAGGATATCATTTTGCTAGGTTCAAGGCTCTGGCTCCAGAGTCAAAATTCTAGCCACTATGCCCTCCTGCCCCACTAAGGGATCTTCATGAAACAAGTGGGAGGTGACACCAAATGGGTCAGGCCCTGAAAGTCGCACTAAGAATTGCATTTTAAGGGCAGCAAATAGGAAACAAATGTTATACACTAATCTCAGACAAAGCATCCACTAACGTCTGGACTTTGAGTGTTTTGCTCAGAAAAGTTCAGACAACCCAGAGGATTTTCTAACAGGAGAATTACAGAAACAGTGAGGAGGAAAAGAAGGGTTTTAGGTTCTGAAGGAACCTCCAACTATATCATGTAATTTCTATAACTGAAACTGATGGGCTGCCCACCAGTTTCTTTGTGCCAAGAAAGCACAGTGACCAGAACAAGCCAGTCACAGTCCACGCAATTGTGCACAGTTTGCCACAAAAGGACACCCTGCAAGTCACTGGGATGAACACGAAGGAGTGCAACCAAGGCTGCTGTCAGAAGGTATCATCAGGAAGCACTTCATAAAGTTAAAGACAGCCGCCAACAGACTGGGTTACCCTGGGTGACAAGTAAGAACGTAAGCCTCCTTCACTGGGAGTAACACAGCAGACGTTGCATGGATGTCTACCAGAGATGCTCCAGAAAAGCCAAAGCACTGAAGTCTTGGGCAGCTTACTGATGGCAGTGCAGAGCAGTGCACTGGAATCACCTATGAATGGTGCCCCTGGACGCTTAGTACCGTAAACATCCAGGCTTCCTCTGCAAAATAGGGGAAGTAACAGTACCTACCACATATGCTTGCCATGAGGATGAGACAATGTGTGGAACACAGTACAGTGGTCAGTATGTAGTAAGCCCTCAGCAATCAATAGACATTATCAGGCTGAATGACAAATCACATGAGGTTGGCAAGTTAACAGTTAAAAACAGACATTTCATGTTTAATATGTTTTAAGGCCATCACCAAAGTTCCTTCTGACCTCTGATTGCAGCACAAAGTTGCTGTGACATTTGGTGGTAAAGCCCCAGCATCCTGGGCCTGGGCAACAAGAACTGTGCCAGGCCTCTGCAAAAGCACCCTTCCCAGTCTCATCCCTCCCTCCAGGGCTGGATACCTCCTTGCCCAGGTCTTCGCGAATGACCTGGCAGACTTCCTGCATGCTGCTCTGCGGGGCCTGGCTATGCAGCACCTTCAGCGTGCTGGTGTACTCCTCTGGCAGCAGGTAGTCCAGAGCTCCAAGGTGCTGGCCCACCTTGATGAAGGTCCCCCGGTTGGCACAGCAGAGCTCACACAGACGTCTGGCAGAGCGAAGATGCACCTGCAGGGAGAGAGGCAAGGCCAGAGAAGTATGAGTGCAGACTGATCCCTGAGCACTGTGCCCCTTCCCAGGCCTCGGCCTGAAAATCTTCACTTACTCCCCTGTGATCAGGGCATGTGCACACATGCACACACACACACACATGCACACACATGCACACACACTCCTCCTGTTTCCTGTACCCAGGCAGAGCAGTCAATTTCAACCTCACGCTGAAGCCAGTCTCTGTGGCCTGATGTTTCCATTTTCCTTCCCTCCACCAAAACTTTCCTGGTTGGATCTTACTCCTTAGACATGAGTGTTAAAGGCTTTCAGCCAAACCTAATTTACTAAGGACTCATTCAAGGATACACTGAGTTACTGTGTATTCCACATGCCTCTCAGACCTACTGGTAATACTTCATGTTAGAGCTCCACAATGATAAAACATGGTCATATATATTATATCCTTTAATCCTCAAGGCAGCTCAGGGAGGTGGGTGTTGACACCTCTACAGATGAGAAATGCAGTTGTTCTGTTCATAAAATAACTAATAAATGTCAAAGGAAAGGCTAGAAAACACTCCACGTCTACAACTGTTTTATGCAGGAATTTTTAGCATGAGACTCCTATTTATTGGCGGAATATTATTATTGGGGGTATCAGCCACAGGGAGCAGGCAGCTGGGCAGGCTGTCTGATATAGGAAGCCTTAACTTACATCCTGCTGCTCACCCTCTTTCCAAAGCTGGGAGGTGGCCCCACCTGTCCCCAGCTGTGCATTCCCAGTCATACCCCAGCCCCACCAAGAGTATTGGAACTACAAGGGTCTTGTCTCTTAGGTGCTAGTCTCAGGCAGGATAGAACCTTGGGCACATATCGAAGACAAGGGATCCCAGGACCGTGGGGGGGGGGGGACCTGCTATGGTTTGTGTCTACATGTTCCCAAGAAGTCTACTGTATTAAGAGCTGGAGCTTGCAGAGGGAGATTGGATTTTGAGAGTGCTTGACTCATCAGTAGCTGGATGGCCTTTAGGAGGTGGGGCCAGTTGGAGGAGGTGGGTCTCTGTGGCTGTGTCTTTGTCGGATTTATCTTTCCTCTGATTCGTTCTGCTCTCTCTGCTTTCTGGCTGCAGGGACATAGGAGCTTTTCTCCACTGTCTCCTTCCACCATCATGTGTCTGCCTTGGAGCCAGCCACCCATGAACTGAAAACTCTCAAGCTGTGAGCTAAAACAAACCTTTCCTCCTTTAAGTTATGTATGCCACGTATTTGGTCACAGAGATAAAAAGCTGACCAATAAAACCTGGTACCTGCTTTCACCAACAAAGATAACAAACAGGGAATATCAAAGATACACTTACACTTTCAACTGCTACAAAAGATGCTGACATTCTCATTATCAGCACATAATAAAATCATGAGAAGTGAAGTAACAATTGATAACAAAGATGGAAGAAATATTCAAAGGGCCTACATAATCAGTTTCCAAGTGAACCATACAGGAAACTGCTACTTTAGAAATTAAGAAGCAAACACTCTAGCCCTGAACATCCTGTTCCAGCAGCTGGGTCCCCCTTTAGCCCAGCTCCACTGCAGCAGACCCCAAGTATCAGGCTGTCCTTAGGCCTCCATTTCTGGCTCTGCTGAACATCTCTGCCTCCCACCCCAACTCACTCTAGGGAATCCCATGTACTTGAAGCTCCATTCCCACAGACAGAGCTCTCCAGCATGGATGTAAACACCAATCCAAATGACACCAATCAAAGTCTACTCCCTGGCAGGAAGTTGCAGTGAGAAGGAAGTTCATTCTAATTGAGAAAGTATGTGCATAAGCATCCTCAGAGAGGTCAAAGTGATACAGGGAGGGGAGATTCTCTTAATAACTGGAAACTGGGGACAAAGCTGGCTGTATTAAATGGTAGAAGGTCCTTGTCAAGCTTTGCAAAATCAGGATTCTGGCTTGCCAAAGCCACATTCAGCTGTTCTAAGGAAGTATGGCAAATACGGTCAAACATGGAGTTGGGCATCTCTCTGCAGTCAGTACCAGAGTTCAAGCCATATGGTCAAACAACTTTTTGCAGCTGAAATGATCAGTACCCAACTTCAACCCAAAAGAGAAGGAAAATGCACAATCAACAGTAGAATACGCAGCAGCCAGAAAGCTATCCACAGTTATCTCCATCTGAGTGACTAGAGCCCAGATCCAGAGCCTTAGTCACATTTCTCATTGCTGAGACTAAATACCCAACACCAAAGTTAAACTAGGAAAGGTTTATTTACATTTATTAGAGGTTTCAGTTCATACTTGGCTGGCTCCAAGGCAGGGTGGCATTGCACAGGAGTGTCACAGAGTATGTGGGCAGGCAGAGGGCAACAAGCAGCAAGCAACAAACCACAAGCCATAACCAGGAATCCTCTTGGTATCCTTTGTGTCTTACTCAGTTTACCCCTCCTTAGAGCAGACAGCACTCACATCCAGAACTATGCCAAACCAATCAGTGGAGTAATTTAATAATCACATACCCTTGATCCAAGCATCACACACTCCAGATCTAGCCACCTACAAAAAACACCACCTATGACTACATGAGGCTGTGGGAGGACATCTAGACATAAACCATAACATCCAGTCAGCTACTTCCCTAGCACATAGTTATCTAATTGTCATCTAAATTGTTCTGGAGTCCAAGAGAAAAATGAGCACAATCCACACCCAAAGAAAGCATAAGTTTGGAAAGGAGTTGAAGACTCTCTCTCCTCTCCCCTCCGCAATAAAAACAATAACCACCACATAGTGGAGGCTTCCTATGGGCCCAGTCCCCTGCCCTCACCCAAAAAAGACACCTCATAGAGACATTCACACAACAGAAAAAAACACCTAACAGCAGGTATGGGAAAGAGCTTGGGACCTGGTGTTGTGGAAACTCATGGATGAAAGAAACAAGAGGACTGAAATTAGCTGTATATGTTTGCTATTTCTTATAGGCTGCCTCCATAAATTCTATGGCTCAGATTCACCCCATAGGGAGGAGGCACCAGGACATGTACTCGTTATAAACAGACAAATGTGCTTCCACTTACCATGGAGTTACACCTGGAGAGACCCTTCAGAAGTTGCAATTATCTCAAGTCAGAATCCACTTAAAACACCTAAGCTACTGAACCCCATAGCTGAGCAACGCTGAGCATAGCTGAGCACACTAGAGTATCAAATGTTTCCCTTGTGATCATGTGGCTGACTGGCAGCTGTGGCTCACTAAGACTGCCCAATATCAGGAGAGAGAATTAGACATCATACTCCCAGCCTGAAAAATGATCAAAATTTCCAAGTACAGTTTCTACCAAATGCATACCACTTTTGCACCATCATAAAGTCAAAGTGGAACCCCTGTAAGCCAGAGATGCTCAGTATGGCCTCTCAGCTCCAGACGCACCCCTCTGTGCCCTGCTTTGTGTTACTGAAGCTGGACTCTAGGTTATTCTTTCCTTGTCAGATGGGGGTTGCTTGACTGTGAGGTTACAAGAGGAGCAAGAGTGCCCCTCACTGTTTCTAGTATCCTGTTTCTGGCACAGACAGAGAGTGCCCACTCTAGGGCCCTCATAGACGAGCTACAGCCACACACTCCAGTGCGCAGTCTATTATTGTGAACATTCTGATTCTTCTCCAGATTGACTCTAGCTGCTCTGCCCCATAGCAGGCTGCCCATGAACCTCTTACTCCGGTCTTCCACTATGGCTCCTCTCCACCAACCTCCCTGGGCAACTCTGCCTGCTCCAGAATTCTAGCCTTGGGGTATGGAAGAGCCTCTGCTAAGTCCTTATTCCACTCTCATTCATGATCCCCAAGTTCCAGAAGGAGCAGCTGCTGTATGTGTTTGCTATGTCTATGCTGTCAGAATCTCCTTTTACAACTTTTAGGAGTTACCACCTTAAACTAGTGCTTAATTCTTTGTATTAAAATTTCCTCCTTTAAACTACTGCTGTGACTAGAACCTAGCTGGTACACAGATTTAGACTCTAAAACTGAATTTGAATAGATTAAGATAAAAGGAGTGGGCATTTGAGATCAAGAAAAGAGAAGGCATAAGAGTGTGTGTGCTATTCTGAATGTATACATGTGTACATGTTTTTCTATGTTTATGCATGTGTAGGGATCACTATTGTTGCGTGTGCATATCTGTGTACTGCTGTGTGTACGCATATGTTGTTGACAGAGTTGCTCCATTCTTTTCTTCAGACTGAATTTGAATGTATCTTTGTCTTTGTCATCAACAACCTTCATTCAGAAAGCATTGACCACACTCTACTCAACTCTCCCTAAAGGAAGTAGACTTGCAATGCTGATTTGCAAGCCAGAGTTGCAATCTGGAGGAGGATCAGAATGTTCACAGTAGTAGACTGCTCACTGGAATGTGTGGGATGTAGCTGGTCTACGCTCCCTAAAGGAAACCTACTGCTCCCCACCTATGGCTTGAATCAGGACCAACTAGGGTATTCCTCAGCACAAAGTGATGGTCCCTTTTCAAGACAGTGGACAATGGAATGAGGTTTGCCTGGTCACTCATGCCCAGAGAGGCCAGCCTGCCCTTGGCTCACCAGTTACCCAGCACATCTGGGGGACCAAAGCCATTCTACATTCTGCATACCTCAAAGCAAGTTGTGTGGGTGCCATAAATATACATACTCACAAAACTACCATCTTTGAAACCAAGTCAGCACCTCCTGCATATAGCACCTGCATGTCCACTAATAAGATCTCAAAGCCCCCTTCAGCCAGCTTCTAACACACATAAACATGCACACACACTCACATACACACACACGCACATGCCCACACACACACATGCACACAAATGTGAAGGACACTGCCAAACACCAAAAACCTAAAATGATCTTTTAAGGCCAAAAGACACAGATGCTGAATAGTATAGTGGGCATTCTAGTCTCCAGGGCCACTTTCCTGCCCCAGCTCTCACAGGTTCACTATGCATGAGGATCAGAAGCCACACCCCTTCCAA